TTAAGAAATGCTGAGCGAGTTCGGCCCTTTTGATTTTCTGACTCTAGCTCCTCGCACATTTCATTGTAGTATTTTGCTTTGTCATTCCGAGCTGCCTTTTGGAATCTTCTGTTCAGCTCTTTAGTATCTTGAATTCTTCCTTGTGCTTTGGCTTTTACCATAGTACAATTAAAAATGTATTTTTAGAAGATAATGAAACATCCTAAGGGACTGGTTCTGATTGACCTCTCTCATGACCCACAGACGAAGGACCCCACACACACACACTCAGCGCCCTGTTTCTGGCCATCCTTCCATTTCCTGGGCTCTTGTTCCTCTCATTCTATCCCATCTCCACCTTTTCTTCCTTTTTGCCCCCTTCAATATGGACTCTTTGGGGTCCTCCTGGAGTTCTTTGTCTTTTTGCTACACTCTCCCTGAGTCATGGCCCCTTCAACCCCCACCTCAATCTCTCCCCTGGACCCCAACTTCTGCCAGCAGTGGCGGGTGTGGCAACATGCCTCCTGCTTCCAAACCCATCACTATCGAGTCAGTTCTGTTTAATTCATAGCAAACCCAGGTGCCCAAGCAGAGCCGTGTCATGGGGTTTCCATCACTGATCTTCATGTGAGCAGACTGCCACACCTTTCTCCCGTGGAACATCTCGTAGGTTCCAACCACCCATCTTTCTGTTAGCAGCTGAATGTGTTAACTACAGCACCACCAGGGTTCCCTCATGAGGAATGTACATACTGTCAAGTCAGAACCAACTCATAGCTGACCCTCCAGTGAGTTTTTAGAGGCAGTAAGTTGGAGGAGATTGTCCATCTTTTCCCAAGAAGCAGCTGGAGGATTCAAACCAGATGCTTTGGGATCGGCCAGCACAACTCTTTACCACTAAGCCACTAGATCTCCCTTCCAGAAAGATTGCAGCCTTGGAACGCCTGTGGGTCGGGACTTACCTCGGTCAACTGTTTGCAACAGGATCCCTCGGACCACATCCTCATAGATGCCCTCAACAGTCAGGGCCTGGCCACAACTGGCAAGGATGTCCCTCTCGTCCTCAGGCAGCTCCTAGAAAGGAATCAGGGAGAGAGCTGAGCTGAAGGGCAGGGCCAAGGGATGGGCTCAAGCCCCAGCCCTGCCCAGATGTGCTCAACACAGAGAACAGTGAACTTTTTATTATTATTATTATTCATTCATTATTGCACATGAGAACAGGGGCCAGGGCTTCTTCCTATGTAAATTGTTGTTGTTGTTGTT